GATAAGAGGTAAAATGTGTTATTGGAGGGTATTTCAAGGGTAATCTGAGGAAATGATGCTAAGAAATGTGTTTATCCTTTCAGTATTTTAAAAAACATGTATGCATTTTAACTGGTGATTTATTTGGATTAAGATTTTCATCATAGAACCTGAGATATCAGTAATATAGGAAGACAGAGAGGGATCAGTATGAAAAGTCAAGAGGCAATTAAAGTACAATATTTGAATGAGGTAAGAAATAAAATTTTCAGTTAAATTTTTTCATAAGTGAAGGAAACCATAAGAATATTAAACAAACAAACAAACAAAAAAAAAAACAACCAGAAACACTGAAAATAGGCAAAGGAAAAAGTGCATTCCCAGGAATGGGAAATCTACAGGCTTGATAATGATCAGTGTTTACAGAATGCCTTCTCAGGAACCAAGAAGGAAGACCACTAAAATGTACTTATGATACAAGCGTGGTGATTTAAAGATATCATCTCACTAAAGAACAAATATGAAAAATAAACACAGTGCAATAAAATGTAAATAATAATGCAAGCTGACATTTACAGAGTACTTTCTATGAATCGTATGCTCATCTATGATTATATGCAGGAATAATTATTTCTGCATACAGAGGAAGACACTGAGGCTAAGAATAGTTAAGTAGTTGACTCAGGGTCCCACCGTTGGTAAATGAAAGAGCAGGACTGGTAGAGCACTTATTCAATATCCATTATGTGTTTCCAAAGTTAGAGAGTAGGTTGTTACTGTTGTTGTTGTTAGGTGCCATCAAGTCGGTTCTGACTCATAGCAACCCTCTGTACAAACAGAATGAAACACTGTTGGGTCCTGCGCCATACTCAGTTGTTATGTTTGATCCCATTTTGGATGCCACTGTGTCAGTCCATCTCCTTGGCAGTCTTCCTCTTTTTCACTGCCCCTCACTTGATTGAGCATGATGCCCTTCTCCAGGGACTGGTCCCTCCTGAAAATACGTCCACAAAGTATGAGAGAAGTCGGAACATTCTGGGTGTATTTTTTCCAACACAGATTTGTTTGATCTCTGGCAGTCCATGATACTTTTAATATTATTCTCCAACACCATAATTCAAATGCATTGATAATTCTCTGATCTTACTTATTCATTATCTAACATTCACATCCATATGAGGAAATTAAAATTTCTATGGCTAATCCTTAAATTGATGTCTTTGCTCTTGAACACTTTAAAGAAATCTTTTGGAACAGATTTGCCTAATGCAATATGTCTTTTGATTTCTTGGCTACTGCTTTCAGTAAGTGTTAATTCTGGATCCAAGCCAAAAAAAAGTCTTTAACAACTTCTAGCTTGTGTCCATTTATCATGATGTTATTTATTGGTTCAGTGGTGAGGATTTTCTTTACATTGAGGTGCAACCCATATTGAAAGCTGTGATCTTTTATCTTTATCAGTAAGCATTTCAACCCCTCTTCACTTCTAGTGTTGTTGTTGTTAAGTGCTGACAAGCCGTTTCCAACCATAGTGACCCTATATAGGGTTTCCGAGGAGTAGCTGGTGAGCTTGAACCACCAACCTTGCAGTTCAAATGGCTTTGCAGTCTGGCGCATTAACCCACAGCGCCACCCCAGTAAGGTTATATCATCTGCATATCTCAGGTTGTTAGTCAGTCTTCCTTTAATCCTGATGCCATATTCTTTTTTATATAATACAGCTTCTCAAATTATTTGCTCAGTGTACAAATTGAATAAATATGGTGAAAGGAAACAATCCTCGTGGATATCTTTTCTAATTTTAATCTATTTAGTATCCCCTTGTTCTGTTCTAACGGGTGCCTATTTCTTGGTCTATGTACAGGTTCCACATGAACACAATTAAGTGTTCTGGAATATCCACTCTTCACACTGTTATCCATAGTTTATTATAATTCACAAAGTAAAAGTTTTATGTAGTCAATAAAGCATAAGTAAGCATCTTTTTGGTATTCTGCTTGCTTTCAGCCAAGACCACCTGATATCAGCAATGATATCCCTTGTTCCATGTCCTCTTCTGAACTCAGCTTGAATTTCTGGCAGTTCCCTATCTACTCTTGCAACCCTTTTAAGCTTATTTTCAGCAAATATATAATATTTATATGTAATATTAGTTGCATCTAATATTAATGATATTGCTTGATGATTTCCACATTCCGTTGGATCACCTTTCTTTGGAATGGTCACAAATATGGATCTCATCCAATTGGTTGGTCAGATAGCTGTCTCCCAAATTTCGTGACATCGGTGAATGAGAACTTCCAGTGCTGCATTCATTTGTTGAAAGATTTCAATATCTATTCTGTCAATTCTTGGAGTCTTGTTTTTCACCAGTGCCTTCAGTGTAGCTTGCATTTCTTCCTTCAAGACCATTGGTTCTTGATCATAGGCTACCTCGTGAAATGGTTGAAAATTGACAAAATTGACTATTTCTGTTTGGTACTGTGACTGTGTAGTCCTTCCATCTTCTTTTGATGCTTTTTGCATCATTCAATATTTTGCCCATAGAATCTTCAATATTGCAACTCGAGGTTGAATTTTTTCTTTTAACTCCAGGTTTTCGCACATTTCATTATAATAATTGACTTTGTCTTCTCAAGCTTCCCTTTGAAATGTTCTGTTCAGCTCTTTTACCTCCTCATTTCTCCCATTCACTTTAGCTACTCCACTCTCAAGAGCCAAGTTTCAGAGTCTCTTCTGACATCCATTTTGGTCTTTTTTACCTGTCTTTTTAATCACCTTTTGCTTTCTTCCTGTATGATGGTCTTGATGTCATCCCACAACTCTTCTGGTCTTTGATTATATGTCTAATGCATCAAATCTTTTCCTGAGATGGTCTCTAAAATCAGGTGGGAAGTATTCAAGGTCATATTTTGGTTCTCATATACTAGTTTTAATATTCTTCAGCTTCAGCCTGAACTTGTATATGAACAATGAATGGTCTATTCAACAGTCTATCCCTGGCCTTTTTTTGACTGATGATATTGAGCTTTTCCGCCATCTCTTCCCACAGATTATAGTCAACCTGTTTCCTGTGTATTCCATCTGGTGTGATCCATGTGTATAGTCACCTTTCATGTTGTCTTGAAAAAGACATTTGCAGTGAGTAAGTTGTTGGTCTTGCAAAATTCTATCATGCAGTCTCCATCATCATTTCTTTAAACAAGGCTATATTTTTCAACTACTTATCTTTCTTTTTTTCCAGTGTTTGCATTCCAATTGCAAGTAATTAATACATCTTGACTGGATATTTGACCAACTTCAGACTGAAGAAGTTGGTAAAATTCTTCAGTTTTGTCATTACTGACACTTGTGTTTGGTAAGTTTGAGTTGTGTTAACTAATCTTCCTAGTAGGTATATGGATATTTTCCTATCACAGACAACATCATACTTCAAGATAAATCTTGAAATGCTCTTCTTGATGATGAATGCCATACCATTCCTCTTCAATTTGATGTTCCCAGCATAATAAACCATGTGATTTTCATATTCAAAATGGCCAATACTATATCTGATAATGGTCTGCTGCTATTCATAAGGTTTTCAGTGGCTAAACATTCAAAAGTAGTCCACCTCTCCTTCTTCTAAGTTAGTCTGGAAGCGCCGTTGAAACTTGACCCCTATGGTGACCCTGCTGGTATTTAAAATCCCAGTGGTATCACTTTCAGCATCACAGCAACACTCAAGTCACCACAGTATGACAAAGTAACAGACAAGTGGTGGAGAAAGTACACAAGTGTCCATTTAATGCTACTTTCAAATATGCAGTTAGTTCACTTGACAGGTATATTCTTACAGTGGAGTATGGTCCGTAGTATTAAGGGCCATTGATAGTAGTATTAAGGGAGAATTGGATTGATTATCACTTTGTGTTCACTAGGCTGCATTTTCATCTCAATGTAGTTTCATAGTAGGATTTTGTACTCAAGAGAAAATGTCCTTTGGCAAAGCTGAAATATAGCATGAATGGGCTTTTAAGTTAGACTTGAGTTTCAGTCCAAGTACTGATTGTGTGATCTTGGGCAAATTATTTATCATATCTGAGCCACCTCACCTAGTTCCTCTGTAAAAGCATGTAATAATAGTTACAAACTTATCAGAGTCCTGGGAAGACAAAGCAAAATACTGAATGTAAAGAACTTACCACAATATCTAACATATGGTTGTTATTGTTGTTGTTAGGTGCTGTCAAGTCAGTTCCAACTTACAGTGACCGTATGCTCAACAGAAGGAAACAGTGCCTGGTCCTTCACTATCCTCACAATTGTTTGAGCCCACTGTTGCTGCCACTGTACCAGTTCATCTTGTTGGGGGTCTTCTTCTTTTTTACTGACCCTGTACTTTACCAAGAACAATGTCCTTTACCAGGGATTGGTCCTCCTCCATGGACATATGATTTTCCCTAACTAATAGTTGTTGTTGTTAAGTGCCATGGAGTTGGTTCCAACTCATAGCAACCCTGTGTAGTGTTTCCAAGGAGCAGCTGGTGGGTTTGAACTACCACCCTGCACTTCAAATTGACCTTGCAATCCAGTGCCTATCTTACAACACCACACCATAGTTGCTGGTAATGTTGCAACTGTTATTAACAATATATTATAATTGGTAGGTGATCAAAATTTTCAAATTCACATTTTATTTCCACTATGATGGCTATAATGTATGTAGGACAATTGTATATTATAAACTCATAAGTACCTGAACTAGTTTTCCTAGTTTCTCATCTCCTCTAGATGGACTTATAACTGAGTTATTGTTGTTGTGTGCTGTTGAGTCAGTTCCGACTCATAACGAGCTGGTATATGGTTTATGAGGACAGTTGGTGGGTTTACACTGCAAGCCATGCAGTTAGAAGTCCAGTGCTTATCCTGCAGCACCACACCAGAGCTAGAAAGTGGTTATTATCTAAATTTAATTCAAGGGGATAATGTTGTTTGTGTACAGAATTAATTGCATATACTGCTTTTTATAGATACTGAAAATGAGCCAAGAAAAAATTCAAATACTTGAAAGTAAGTTGTCAGAAGAGAAAGAGAGAAGAAAGCAGTTGTCATCTGAACTTAATACTGTACAGAAGGCTGTGAAAGTTGAAAGTGAGGTATTTTGTCATTCAGGCATTACTAATTTAGGCATTTCATGTTATCATTTATCTTGTCTTAAAAATAAATTTGAGCTATAGAATACTGTGCTTATAGTAATAATCATGTGGCAGAAAGAAGTCTACCAGAAGAATAGGTTGAAATATTTCAAGCAAAAAAATTGTGTCGGAGCCATTTCAGTATTTTTTTTTTAAAGAAATATTTTATCTTTTATAGGAAAACAGTCTTATTTGATTCTATTAAATATCTTCATTTCTTAATCAGGAATTGCAAAAATCAAAGTCAGAACTTGCATGCCTTTATAATGAAATTCAAAGTCTTCGAGGGGCGACAGAAGACAAAGATCATTTTTTAATAGCATATGACCTACTACAAAGAGAGAACTCTGAATTAGAAACAAAGGTGAGAGTGAATTAATAAGCATTTAAGTGTTAAGTGTTGAATACATTTTATGAGAATAGGATAGGAGGAAATTAATGTGAAGTAAGAAATTACTTGGAAATTGAAGTTGCTTTGTTTGAGCACGGGCTATAAATCAATCTCTATTTCAGGATAAATATTCAAGTTTCCACCAGTACTTTGCATTTAGAATTAATCGATGAATTCTTTACTTTATGTGAATGTCCAACCAATTCATTATTGGAGCACATATTTTAATATAAATTATTTATTTAAGAATCAAAGCTTATTTTTTAATTTACACTGAATAATATACTCATACATAGAATTAGGAGAGCATTTAAGTGTCCTGACTCCAGTTTGTTCCCCAAGTTAAAAACTGCTTAGCAGTACCAGGACTAGATAGTAGATAAATAATAATTCTGGTGAAGGGAAAGATAATACACAATGTTGAGGAAGTCAGCACATGGTGATAAAGGTAAATAAAGACACTGAGAGGTATACAAGAATCAACTACAACTGTAGTAAATACTGTAACACATACAATCTTGCAACCACAATAATAAATTAACAAGTTGTGAGTATATATAGGTAAATGGAGTCCTGGTATGGTGCTGCTGGTTAATGTGCTGAACTGTAAGGTCAGTTTGAACCACAAGGTTGGTGGTTCAAGCTCACCAGCTGCACCTCAGAAACCCTTCAGGGTTGCTATGAGTCAGAACCAACTTGAAGACACTTAACACAGCAGCAATATAGGTAAATGGCAATGTGGTGGCTCCATATGATAAGCACTGGACGGTGAACCACAAAGTCCACTGTTGGAACCCACCAGCCCATTCTGTGGGAGAAAGATGAGGCTTTCTTCTCTGGTATATAGGGTCACTATGAGTCAGAACTGACTCAACAGCGCTTACCACCAACAAGATATATTGGATTACATTTTTGCACCAGGTACGAAGGATTAAATCAAAGCCTAATTTATTCTATGTGCTGTTACTATGTAAAGCAATGAGCAGGTTGCCGAAGAACTGGAATTTGAATGCAACAGTATGTGATGTCGAGTGGGAAAGCTCCAGAAGGGCTGACTGCCTGGGAGAGTAGATATGAAATATACAGTTTACAACTAACTCTTTCTGGAGGAGCCTTGTCAGTAAAATGAGTTATTACTCTTACAGTTAAAGGACCTCATCTTCAAATAATCATCAAAAAATATAACATGAACTGAGGTGAGAAGATTGTAATATAAAAACAAGATCTCTAACCTGATAATCTGGCTTCTTTTTATAACTTTTCATTTTGAAATAATCTCAGTATTATAGAATTTACAAAAAGTGGTACAAAGAATTCCCATATACCTTCACCTCTGGACACACACACTGTTTTTTATTGCCTTCTCTGTCACACAAGTTAGCATGTGCCTACCCTCTAGCCTGGACTCCTGGTGTGGTGCTGTAGGATCAGAACTAGACTGCAAACCACAAGGTCTGCAGGCCAAACCCACCAGCTGCTCCTTGGAAACCTTTTACAAGGTCGCTATGAGTTGAAACCGATTCCATGGCACTTAACAACAACAGTAACAACAACCCTCTAGCCAGTGAATTACTCACACTTTTTTCTGAAAATGAGAATACTATAGAGACATATTAACTTTCTGCCCCTAAATAGTTTGTGTACGTATGCTAAAAATAAAGACGTATATATCACTGTACAAGTCTCAAACTCAGGGCATTATTACTGATAATCTACAGACCTTATTCAAGCTTTGTCAGTTGCCCTCTCTGTAGTCAAAGAAAAAGGTCTTAGGTTTTTGTTTTGTTTTTACTAGTCCAAGATCCTATCCAGAATAACGATCACATTTTACTGTCATACCTCTTTTCCTCCTTTAATCTATAGCAGTTTCTTAGTATGTCTTTTATGACCTTGGTAGTTTTTGAAGAGTACAGACCATTGCTTTTGGAGAATGCTCGTCAACTTGGGTTTGTCTAATGTCTCATTACAGTGTGATCGTTAATGCATTTGGGGCAGGAATGCTACAGAAGTGATGTTGTGTTATTCTCAGTGCATTACATCGGTAGAACATGCAATTTTTGTTGCAGTATTGGTGAAGGCACTCAAAATAGGAGTGGGAAAGAGCTGTCTCCTCAAAGCAGAGTTGATTGTGGAGTAAAGCCCCAGGAGCTGCACTGGCAGATGGGGCACAACTCAAAATGAGGAGAAACATTTGGAAATGCCCACTAATAATTGGAACATGGACTGTATGAAGTATGAATCTAGGGAAATTGGAAATTGGCAAAAATAAAATGGAATGCATAAACATCGATATCTTAGACATTGGTGAGCTGAAGTGGACTGGTATTGGCCATTTGAATCTGACAATCACATGGTTTATTTACTATGCCAGGAATGACAAATTCAAGAAAAATGGCATCACATTCATCATCAAAAACAACATTTCAATATCTATATTGAAGTATAATGCTATCTGTGATAGGATAATATCCATTCGCCTACAAGGAAGATCAGTTAATACCATTACAATTCTAATTTATGCACTAAAGCCAGTGATGATGAATTTTAAAATTTTTTCCAACTTCTGCAATCTAAAATTGACAAAACATGCAATCAAGATATATTAGTAATTACTGGCAGTTGGGTTGCAATTGTTGGAATCAAAGAGGAAGAATCAATCATTGGAAAATATGGCCTTGGTGATAGAAATTATGCTGAAGATAGCGTGATAAAATTTTGCAAGACCAATGACTTCTTCATTACAAATACCTTTTTAAAGTAACATAAAAGACAACTATACACATGGACCTCACCAGATGGAAAACACAGAAATCAATGTTATTGCATCTATGGAAAGAGACAGCGGAAACGCTCCATATCATCAGCTAAAACAAGGCTGGGGCATACTTTGGAACAGACCATCAATTGCGCATATGCAGTTCAGGCTGAAGTTGAAGAAATTAAAACAAGTCCATGAGAGCCAAAATATGACCTTAAACATATCCCCCTGAATTTGGAGATCATCTGAAGAACAGAGTTGATGCATTAGATACTAAAAACTGAAGACCAGAATAATTGTGGGATGACCTCAAGAACATCATACAGGAAAAAAGAAAAAGGTCATTAAGAAGGCAAGAAAGACTGATTATATTATAAAATAGATACTGGAGGGGGAGAGAAAGGAATAGC